CCCCCCGCCCCCCTCCATGCTGGCTGCAGTGGAGCAGGGCGATTGCTACCCAAGGTCATCACATGGCGGCAATCATTTATTTGCAAATAAAACGTCCATCTTGGAAGCATCGTTAACCCTGGGGCACTCCCCCTCCTAATTGCGTTCAGGGAGAGCCATTTTTCAGCTCCCCCCCTCTCCCATTAGCGCCCACTATTTGCTCAGTCCCTAGTAATTAATTTATGGGCTGTTCATGAGCCACTTAAATGAGAGCTCTAAATCATGCTAAGTGGCAATAATGCCATCTCGACTCCTCCGGAAAGGAGGGAATTACTGTCCTGCTTCCAGTATCCTTCCCCCCCCCTTGCTCCTCGCATTAATGCCACCTGCCGCTGAGCAGCCCCGGCACCGCAGCAGAGCCTGCGCCAAGCCCCCGGCATCTCCATCCCCGCGTGTGCCTTGGCACAGCCCCATCCTGCCGCGGGGATTTGAGATCCCAGCTCTGCTTCGGGCTCGACCCTTCGTCCCATTCGCAGCTGCCTGGGAAGCATTTTGGGGTTCGCACCCCTGGGCGACGGGCAGCAAGCAGAAAGCCGCCTGGGGATTTGCATGGCTCCGGCCATGCCGGGAGCCCGTCCCAGCCGACCTCCACCGTGCCTGGGGCACCGGGGCTGTCCCGGCTCCAGGTGTGTCACCTTATCAGCTCAAGGCTCTGGCTTTTCCAAACAAACACCACCTGCACTGCCGGCACCGAGGGCGATTCAAGGAGGAAAAAAAAAAAAAAGGGGCAAATGGGGGGTTTTGCTGCAAACCAGGTTCCTGGAGAGGTGGGAGAGCGCCCAGCCACAGCGGGAGCAGAACGGGCACGGGCAGCCCGGGAGCAGAGCAGGCACTGGGAACCCTCAGCCGGCACTGCAGCAGCCCCACACTGCAGTGGTGGGGTTCACCGGGACCCCTCAGGAACCATCCCCGTGATGTTGGCCTTACCTTCCTTCCTCATGCCCACGCGGAAACACTTCTTCAGGCGGCAGTACTGGCATTGGTTGCGGTGGTGCTGGTCGATCTGGCAGTCGCGGTTGGACCTGCGGGCAGGACCGGGCAGATGAGGTGCCGGGGAGGAGCGATGCGATGCCGCCGGGGGTCCCCGCACCCCGCCGAGCTGCTCCGCCACCCACATCCCCGCCGCCCTTGGGCAAAGCCCTTCACCTCTGAGCGCGGCCCCCTCTGCGCCAGCCGTGGTTGTGCCACGCCGGCCCCCGGCATGCAGACACAGGTGCTCCCAGGCGGCACTCAGATGCTATGGAAACAGAGCGATTTCCTACAGCAGGGGCTGCCAGTTCGTGTTGCCAGCGATGCCCAGGGCCGTAGGAAAGCTGGAGAGACCCCTGGGGCACGGGGCTCCCATCCTCAGGGACGTGTAGGGATGGGTGCTGGGGAGCGATGCCCCGTGTCCCGGCACGTGGGGGGGGGGGGAGGGGCGGGGGCGGCGGAGCAGCCCCCAGCCTCACCGCCAGACGTGCAAGGAATTTCAACTATTTCCTACAGGGCTGGGGCTGCCCCCGCAGTGCTGAGCCTGCGACCCCTCGGGCACCGAACGCTTGTGGGCGTCCCCCATGGCGACGTGCAAGGAATTTCAACTATTTCCTACAGGGCTGGGGCTGCCCCCGCAGTGCTGAGCCTGCGACCCCTCGGGCACCGAACGCTTGTGGGCGTCCCCCATGGCGGTGGCATGGCCCCGCATCCTCCATGCTCCGGTCTGGCCTCGACCGGACCCTGCGAGCGTGGCAAAGCAAAACCCTACGGCTCTGGAGCAGCGGTGCACATGCCTCCAGCCCCAGTGCGGGGTCTGCATGGGCCGGAGGGATGCTTTCCCCCCCGAGCAACCTTGGAGCCTGCAAAGGGGGTCGCGCCCACCCCCTGGCACACGGGTCCTGCCCCAGGCAAGGAGCCGCGGGCACCAGGCAGCCCCTGCACCATGCATGGTACCGGCCACCACCAAAGCCAGCCGCTGACCGCTGCTCCTGCGGCATCGTGGGGAGCGACACGCTGGGACAGGCTGCGAGAGACATTCCCAAACGGTATCATTAGTGTCCAAACCCCCCAGCCCCAATTCCCAGGGGCCACTCGCGCTCACGGTCCCCACACAGCCGAGTGATGCAGTGGGGCACGGGTGACACTGGGCGCTCGCATCCCACCCGAAGGCTGTCGCAGCGAACGGGGAGGAAAGGGGGTTATCAGCAAAACAGCGATAAATTAAGGCGTATAAAGCAGCAGCCAAGAAAGTGCAGGCAGGGCCGGGTCGTGCTGGCGTCCGGCAGCAGCTCGGCTCTGCCTGGGAATCCTGACATGAATCTCTTCATCCCTACACGACTCCAGAGACGAGACAAGCAGGGATTCCCACCGCGCTCAAACCGGAATTAATTCACCCCGAACATCACCACTGCGCTTAGCACATTTTAAAATGTGTTGCTGATAAAAAGTTATTCCAGCGGAGAAGCGATAGCTAATCAAAACGTCAGGTTACATCTTCATCAGCCGTCTGCACCGTGGCGGGGGCAAAGCTCCCGGCACCGCGGCCGAACCTCCCGGCGGGGGCCTGGCTGACCCTCACCGTGGCCTCAGGGCACCGTCCCCACCACCACCACCAGGAAAACCCAAAAATCATCTCAGCTCCCGCCAGCGGCTCGTAGCAAGTTTCCCAACTGATAGGCTGCAGCGACCTGGGAAACTGTGAGAATACAAAAGGCGTATACTGTGCTAATTATGTAATTAGAACATGTAATTATTTAGTGCAAGAACTAAACTGAATCCAACTCACTTTTAATATTCAAATTAGAGCAATCTTGGCTTGATACTGCTTTTGACTCCTTGAACAAAGCAGATGCCAGGGCTGCCAGGGGAGCATTGTTCCCGGCCCCTCCAACACTTCACTCCCTACTTGGAAAACCAACATTTTTCCACTGCACCAAATCACTTCCCAGCACAGAGGGGGGGAAAAACCCCCAAACACCTGAAGTAGGCGCCCAGATACCAGTGACGAGCACGGGATAAAATCTTGGATGCTCGTAGCCCCTCCATCACCGCTGCAACCTAAGTGGCATCTGGGACGCAGAGTCCGTCCCTCTCCCGGGGAGCCCTGATGTGGCCTTTCCTTTGTTCCAGGAAACTGGAATTTCTCAAAAGCCATATGTATTTCCCCATCTTCAAATCATTAATCCTGAGCAGCCGCTCGGCTGAGTCTGCTGATCAGATCCTGCTGATCAGATGGGGAAACTGAGGCAGGGCCAGGGATGATGCACACGCTGCATCCGCACATGCTGCATCCACGGCAGGCGATGGGGAGGATGCTGCAGGACCAGGGGGGTAACAGGAACTGAACCCTGCCCCACGCCGGCAGCTCCACGGCTGCCTCGCCTCCCGTCAGCCGGGACCCGGCAGCGCCGGTGCCGGGAGCTGCCAGGAGAGGAGATGCTGCGCATGGGGGAGGACGAATCTAGGCCGCCCAAACGAGAGCAAGGCGGCTCGGAGACGGCTCCCGCTGCAGGAGCAGCGCTGCCCCTTCCCTTCCCGTGGCGTCTCAGCACCACGAGACGATGCTCGAAGCAGCCGGCCCCCCTTGGGCGGGGAGAAAACAGGGTGCAGAGGTGGGGTGCCCCTCTCCCAGCCTGCCTGTGGGGTGCCCAAGGCCGGGATGCGGGTGCCATCCTCGCAGCACCCTCACTGGTTTAGCAAACACCCCTGGGAGTGTTTGCACGTGGATCCAGACCTGCGAATGGACCCCTATATACACATTTACCTCCCTGGGAACAGCCCAGGGCCGGGGGTCCCCCACGCGTGCCAGCCAGCCCGACGCTCGTTTCGAGCCCAACAGAAACTCCAGAGTTATTTGCAGCTCCAAACTTCGCAGGGGTCGTATCCTGGTCCTGCTGGTGGGCCCGGATCTGCTGCAGCGCTGGCCCGAGCGTGGGCACCGGCGGGGGCTGCAGCCCCTCTCCCCGGCATCTCACCAGATCAGCGCCCGCAGCACGCCGGGCTGTTGACACCTCCGGTTAAAATTATACTTGCTGCCGCACTGGTGCTTTCTCCGGGTAGAGCGGCCGTGACCGAAGTGACTCACAGCCACGGCGTGTTTTCAGGCATTAGCCTGGAACGGCAATTAATGCCGGAGCAGAGCCGGGCGATGACGAGGACCCGGACACTGGCTGTGCCCCACCGCCCAGGGGACGAAGCAGCCAGGGCATCCATCCCTCCGGGGGCTGGGGATGCACCGGACAGAGGGGCTGCTTATGTGGGGTGCAGAGCACGGAGGGACCCCGTGCTGCAACCGGGGTCCCCCCGTTAGTGCT